AAAAAAAAGTGGGGGATCGGATCTCCGAACCGGAACTCTGTCCCTCTCTGTCTCCACCCCGTGCCGGCCGGCGAGGTCCCCCTCTCCCTCCGGCCGCCTCGCCCCTCCGCCCCCGTCGCGTCTCGGTTCCACGGGCGCCGCGGCCGCCGGCCTCCGACGCCATGGGGTTCCTCGAGGACTTCCAGGCCAGTGAGTGCTCCTCCCTGCCTCCGCTGCCAACTAACCTAATAACCTAACCTAACCCTCGCCGCCTGCGCTAGGGCACGGACGTCGCGGCTCCGCCCACCGTGCAACATCGACGTTCGTGAATATCACACGGTTTCTGGATGATGCGTTGCTAGTGAATTACTGCTGGTCCAACGCCTCCACGGTTTCTAGATGCGTTGTTCATGCCATGCCAACTGAACCTGTTCATGACTAAAGCTGTGTGCAGGGTACTGATTATTCATTTTACTATTAATTGTTGAAGTGTTGCTGACGTATAAATGGATAATCTGTTGCGCGTGCCCCCTTGAACGATTTGCTGTACTTTCCACTGAAAAAATTAGGCGCACGCCTAGGCGCTGGGCGGAGACAAAACGCCTAGCGCTTAAGCGTGCCCTTTGGTCAAAAAACCGCAAGGCGGAGACAAAATGCTCGCTCTGCGCCTAGCGCTTTTTAAAACCTTGGTATTTTGTACTCTATGTTAGAGCGGGTCGAAACGATTAGTTTCCTTACGTGTTGATGCTAGTATACAATGCCATGGCTATAGCGTAGTATGAACTTGCTAGTTTTGTCCAGGGACTTCATGAGTGACCCTACCTTTTGTGCCATGTGAACTTTTTAATAGTTCTCGACTGAATTTTCCTTGTGGCATTCTCATGTTTCTTTGGACTTATCAATAGTCCTCACCTGTATTACTGTTGGTAATCTGTCTCATGTTTCTTTCCACTTATCAGCGGATTAGAACCTAAAGGTTATAGTTGGAATATTAGACATGGGAGAACGATTGTTTTCCAATGGAATACATAATGTTCTAGCCTTATATTGGCGTATTTTCCTGATTCAACTTGTCTCTTAAATTTTAAATGTATTGCTGTGATGCATTTTTGCACATCAATGCATGCATACATATGGAACATGCTTGGTTTGATGCCAAAATTTGGCATGCCAATTTTTAGGATTGGCCCAAATGCGTCCATATAGCCATATGGCCTGTCTGGCCGCACACGTGGGCTTTGTCAGAGGAAGGAGCCCACACACCAGAACCACTAGGTTGCGTGGTGAGGTGAGGAGACTATATGTAGAAGGGGATCAGATCTCCAGTCTGGACCTCTGTTTACCCTAATCCCTCCCCATGTCGGCCGGTGAGATCCCCGCTTCCTCTGCTCCCGGCGCGCCTCAGTTCCATGTACTGGCGGAGCTGCCATGGCCGCAGCCACCGGACGCCGACAATGATTACTTCCTCGAGAAATTCCAAGCCTGTGAGTGCTGTTCCTCCGCTCCTGGCTAACCTAACCCTCGCCGCCAGGGCACAAGCACCACCATGCGCAAAATCTTGTCCTGTGATGTATCATTACCCATGAATTAGTCCCCAGTTTCCGGATGCGTCCGCTAGCTATATGTGTACTAATTATTCAGTTTTCAATTCATGAAGTGTTACAAATCTGTAATTCGTCATGTGTGCCTCCTTTAACACTTGCTTTATTTTGAACTATATGTTAAAAGGAGGTGAAACGAACGATTAGTTTCATTACTTTTTGATGTTAGTGTACAATGCCATGGCTATAACGTAGATTATAGATCTGAACTCAAATGTTTCTTTGGACTTATCTATAGTTCTCGACTCTGTTTTTCTTGTTGGTATTATCATTTTCTTTGGATTTGTGATAGTTCTCGACTGTGTTCCCACTCTCATCTTTCTTTGCACTTATCGACGGATTGGAACCTAAAATTTATAGTTGGAATATTGGACATGGGAGAGTGATTGTTTTGTAATCGAAGACGAAGGTTCTAGCCTTAAATTAGTATTGTGTTTTCTTGATTTAACTTATATCTTCAAATTGTAAATTTATCACTGTGATGTATTTCTGCACATCAATGCATGCATACATATGATATCCTGTTTGATTGCTGTCAGGTGTTGAAACATTGCCAGCTATGCTGCACAAGAACTATTCATTAATGCGAGAGCTCGATAAAAGCTTGCAAGGTATGCAAAATTCTGAATTCCCTATTGTATTTTGCCACTGCAAACTGATTCATTTGCTTCATCTTCTCCGAATGTGCATCTGTCAACTGACCCAAACTCTTCATCTTCTCTCTATGTGAATTGAGAACTTAACTTGAGCACAACGAAGGGCTTGTTAAAGTCCCAGATGCACAGATTATATTGTTATATGTCTAGCTTGTGACTGCAATACTGTGTTCTTTGTGATTACTGTTGTGCACTACTTCTTTTCAAGCCAATAGGACCATGCAACAAAAGTAAGTAGTAAAACTTGCAGGATTGCAGATAGTTCTGCAATTGATAGCATTTACTACTTGCAAGTCTGTCAATTTAAATATCATCTTCACTGGTTAGGATTCACTTGCCAAACTTGATGAATATTTGTTTTATTTTATCTAGGTTGTGCCATGGCATGTTAACCTGCAAATGTCCGGAAAATGAATCTTTCTACATAATAGCAAGCCATATACATGATATATCCAGATTTGTCACTATGTTAGCTATTTACTCCCTCTGCTTTTCTTTAGATATATTTTTAGGGTGTGTTCAGTCAACTTTAAAATTTGGCTACTGATATGCACAAAATTGTTTGGATTTGCCATGTGCAAATGTTGTTTTAGACGCCGTAAAAAATAGTTCCACTCTTTATATTTTAAAGAAAGGAAGGGGAGCCCTGGCGCAGCGGTAAAGCTGTTGCCTTGTGACCATGAGGTCACGGGTTCGAGTCCTGGAAACAGCCTCTTGCAGAAATGTAGGGAAAGGTTGCGTACTATAGACCCAAAGTGGTCGGACCCTTCCCCGGACCCTGCGCAAGCGGGAGCTGCGTGCACCGGGCTGCCCCTTTATATTTTAAAGAAAGTTTACTAACATGTAAAATAGACAAGGTAATGGTCAAAGGCATATATACAGGAGAGCATGTTGATGTGTGAGTTAAAAAAGAGTGGAGCTAGTATGTTGTTGCAGTAAGTGTAATAATGTGAACCAGCTTAATTTCTCTTAACTGACATGCAATCTTTGTTGAACTAAAGTTCTTTGGCTTCCTCTCCCCTCTCCCTGATTAGGTGTGCAGCTGGAAAATGAGCAGCGATGTCAACAAGAAATAGAGGACATTAAGCATGGACTTGAATCTGGAAGTATTACAACATATGAGCCAGCAAAACTTAAATTTTCTGATGAGGCAATCGAGGAGCAGAAACATTGTGTTAGGATTGCTGATGAGAAGGTGGCTTTAGCCACACAAACGTATGACCTGGTAAAAGTTTCTCAGTTCATTCACCATATGAGATACCTACGAATGGTTTTGATATTATCATTGATCCTCTTTTCTTTTCTTTTTTTATGTAAAAAAATGTTTGGCATGTTTTTTATTGATAAGGAAATTATCAATTTGTGGCATTTTTTCCCTCCACCCAACTGACAATAAAGTCATGCCACTTTCTATATCTTAATATTCCAAGCAGAACATATCTGCCATCGTACCTGCCTGACATAATGTTTTAATTATAATTGTCATTTGTCGAGAAATTTACATGTGCAGTTAATGTCTTACTAGGTTGTGCTGTGTAAGCATGTCGCATGACATTGCTCAGTGTTCCTGAGTTGTGCATATGCGGGTTTTTTATTTTGCTGATTTATAAATGTGATATAGGTCGACGCTCATATCCAACAGCTTGATCAATACATGAGGAAGCTTGAAGAACTTCGACTAGGTATTGTAGTGCCGATTGCATGACACTGCAGTTGCCTTACATGTTTCTCTTACTGTGCTTGTGTGCCACTTGTTTTGGCGAACAGAAAAGGAGGCAGCTGCAGCTGCAGCTGCAGCTGCAGCTGCGGCAGATACAGCTGTTGCTGCTACTTCAGCTGCTCCTGCTGGCGCTGGTAGCTTAAGGTCCGCAGCTGCTGATCCTGCTCCAAAAACTGGAAGAGCTGGCGAAAGAAACAGAGGAGGGCGGAAGAAGTATGTTTTGCATCTGAGTAGAATCAAGAACCAAGGCATTTGTATTTTTCTCATTGTAACAGCACAACTCTCTTTTGCAGGGCTAAGGTGCCCACGGAGATGCCCACAGAGATCCCCATAGAGCAGCCAGCTATAGATTTAGAATTGCCTGTCGATCCTAATGAACCGACGTACTGCTTCTGCAACCAAGTCAGCTACGGTGAGATGGTCGCGTGCGACAACCCTGATGTAAGTAAACATTCTCCTCATTTCACATGTCCTTCCTGAGCTCCGTGCACCGGTGCTTGGTTTTAAAGCGCGCCTGTGCTTCTTTTGCAGTGCAAGATAGAGTGGTTCCACTTTGGATGCGTGGGATTGAAAGAGCAGCCGAGGGGGAAGTGGTATTGCCTGAGTTGCAGCGCATTCCAAAAGAAGCGCAAGGGCAGGTGAGATGCATATGGTCCTCGTGCTAGGAGGTAGGTGCTCGGTCGTCCATGGTCGTCCGATTCCGTTGTGCTGAGCGGCGCCTAGTTTGTCCGGGAAGCAACTGTTGGATGTAGCTTGAGTGATCTTGCACATGTTGTGACAATCTTGATGAGTGTTGTACATGTGTGGCCCCGTTTAGAACATGGGAATTTCTTCTTTTTGTGTGGGAGATGAACTGGGGACTGAAATGATTGCAATATTCTGACTGTTTGTTATGTTGTCAGCGGCTAGGAGAACCGTTGTGCAAATGCGGCTATGTGCGTGTGGAAACAAACCTAGTTCAGTAGGTGCCCTGATAGTCATGAAAGTCAAGCTGCTTCGAAGCTGTGTTGCCTTAGTTCCTACTTCTAGATTCTCGACGATCTATCCTTCTGTATGTGGGTTTCATTTCCAAATTCCAACCACATACGAAGTATCATATACACCTAGCAACACTTTCATGGCGATGTTTGCAAAGCTAAAATTTGTATTAATTTTGCAAGTTATCAAATCAATAAAATGGGTTCAAAATACTTTGCCCTTTTGGGTCATAATCTGAACATCATATTAAATATTAGAATGAAAATAAGGGCCTCTTTGGATTGCAGGAATTGGTGTGGGTGTGGGGGGAGGTTATGAATGGATTTCATATACATATTTAGTATAGTTCTAGTTCTTTCATTCAAAGTGCTTCCGTACAGAAAGAAATTGAATTCAAATTCTCCAACCAAAAAAATTCCTAGATTTTACCTCAGACAAGCTTAGCAAGTTAATCAAGCTGGATCGCAAATTACATGAGTCGAGTGAAGTTTTGATATGAACTTGTTATTTACCGGGTTTAGCCAAAGTAGCTCTTTAGAGCATCTACAACTGGAGCCCTCATAGCTGCTCAAACGTCCGGGGAGGCATCCTGGCCGCACAAACAACGCCCCGGGGATTTCGATAGATATTTAATGTAGTTCTAATTCTTTGATTCAAAGGGCTTTCGTACCGAAAAAAATGAATTCAAATTCTCAAACCAAAAATTTTTCTAGACTTTACCTTGGACAAGCTTAGCAAGTTAATCAAGCTGGATCGCAAATTACATGAGTCGATTGAAGTTTTGATATGAACTTGTTATATAACGGGTTTGGCCAAAGTAGCTCTTTAGAGCATCTACAACTGGAGCCCTCATAGCTGCCCAAACGCCCGGGGAGGCATCCTGGCTGCTGGCCGGACGCAAAATTGCCATCCAACCACGGACCACACAACCAACCAAAATGGATGGGTTGTCCGGCAACCCCTATATACAGCCGGGCAGATATGGGGAGGCCTGGAGGTGTCCGCCACGTCGAAACAGCCGGCTATGGCCTACGCCGTTGCCATGGCCAGGTCTGGCAACAACTCTAACAGGAGACTAATTCCATGGGCTGGGATGACCTCGTGAAGGACTCCGGCTCCAGTAGCGATGTGTTGGACGACAACGAGCTCCCGCTCTGCATCGCCATCCCGCGGTCGCAGCTGGACACCTGCGGGAGCTCGAGCTCCGCGGTGTCTTCCACCAGCTCCTCCCAACCCCGTCATGTCAATGCGGTCCAGCAGGCTCGCCCGTCCCGCTCTGCACTGCTCCAAATCCGGAGCAGGGCGGCCCTCCCCCCCCCCTTTCTTCGGCACCAGCTCCTCCCGGGCAGCGTTGGGTGCTCGTGCCCATGCCTCCCGCGTGAATGCCGAAGTCGAAGGCTAGGGTCGCCTGCCGCGAGCAGCAACGGGCCTTGGCGGAGGCCGACTCTTCTCACTAGCACGCCCGCTCCATCCCCGTCGACACAAAGGAGCAGCTCCTCCATGAGGTCATGCATCGTTCGCTGACCACGAAGGAGACCGATGCTAGGCGCTCCAGCTCGGGCTCAAAACTTTAGAGCGCCTCGCGAGGGAGGAAGAGGTCTCCAAGGACAAACGGGCCCGACACGTGAAGGAGCAGGCATGCGCCATCCGCCGCCTCTTCAACTACATCTTAGCGGCGGCAGAAAGGGGCATCACCAGCACGGACGATGACGATCCTCCCGCCGCGGACGCATACATGGAAGAGATGCACCTTCGCTCCCGTGACTGCAAGGGCAAGGGCTCGGCCAAGAAATGGTGATCTCCACCTCACCTCCTCCTCTAGTTAATTTAGCTTGTATCTAGTAATCTATCCGGCAAAAGATTGTGTCTTTTGGGTCTGATAAACTATGTTGGATGAACTATGCCCGAGGTGAACCATGTCTTTTGAGTTCGATCGTGTTGTATATATTTCTCGTTCGATCTATTGGCTCGTTGATGATCTATGTTTGCATGTTTATATGGATTTGGATGCGGGCATATAAGACTACGTATTGTGGATAATGAGAAATGAGGACGGCCTGATCACTGTGAGCGGGCGCGTCCGAACGCGTTTGGGCGTATAGGGCCTCATATTAGGGTGGTTGTAGATGCTCTTATCTAGCTAGTTGTACTAGCTCGTTATCTAAACAAGTTTTTTTTAACAAATACCACTTTATTTAATTGAAATATTAGCTACATCGTCTATTAAGGGGTGTACAATTTCACTTGTAGATTCCTCAAACCAATCATAACTCGAAGATAATCTAGCTAACCTAGCAAATTCATGAGCAAATTTATTAGCTACCCTATTACAATGCTCAATTCTAGTGATAGGAAAATCACAAGCAATGTAAAAATCACAAGCAATGAGCAAATTATCAAAAACTGCCGCCGGTATTCCCGCCGAGCGTCCTCCATTCTTCATAGTCTCAATGACTTTCAAGTTATCAAAATTAATAACAAGGCGATTACACCCCGCGATTTGCACCAGTGACAAGCCGAATAGCAACGCTAAAGTTTCAGCAGAAGACATCAACACACCAGTCAAATTTTCAGTTCCACTAGCAATGGATTTCCCACTAACGTCCCTAAGAACAGCATCGGGTGACCCTCTAAGTAAGTCTTCATCAAAAGAAGCATCAATTAAGTTTAACAAAACCCAAATGCGGCCGGGTCCAACTCCCTTTCTTCATGATAGCCTTAGGGGAATTAGTGATAACATAGTTTGCTGCCAAAGCACAAATCCCCATAGTAATCTGATTAACATTTTGGGTGCTTTTTTATGGACTATTTTACGTTTTTCCAATGACAAGTACCAAGAGGTGATGGCGATCACCTCATGGACATTATGAATACCCAAAATAGATAGCTCATGATTTGGAATATGGAAATAAAACTCAAGAACAGCTTCATCAGCGCGGTCAACTTCACAAGCCCTTGTCTAAAGAAGTTAATTGAGCTAGCTCAGCTCGGCTCGAATTCCCCCCTAGTCCCGAAAGCCATCTTATGCTTCCAAGCTCATTTTGAGCTCGGGATGAACAGTAAAACCTGAAGAAGAAAATGAAAAAAAATCAAGGTGAAAACATGGAGAAAAGGCTGCATGCGCACAAAATTTTATCTTGAAAAGACACTCATGGAAGTCGTGGCGAAATGAACAAAATCGGTGCTCCAAAATGTCTTCGTAAACAACACTTTTGGAGCATCAATTTGTGTTTTTATTTTTCACGACTTTTAAGAATGTGATTTCTAGATGAAATTATGTGAGCACGTAAAACTTTTGTCTTTATTGAAATATTTTTTCGACTTTTTCTGATTTTACTGTTCGCCGAGCTCGACTCATTTGAGCTCGAGCTCAAAAACTCCGCTTGCCTCTGGTCCGATCGACCGATCCTCTTCTCGTTATCTTCTTTCGAAACGGGCCTTCCTCTCATTTTCACCTACTGCCGACTGCCGACTGCTCCGTGTAGCGTACACAGCCGCCCATGCCCGTCTAGGCAACAAGAACGCGGGCGATGATAATGTCCCCATCCCATTCGGCCTTGGAAAGCTCGGCGCCTGTTCCTTCCGCCATCGTCTCGGGTTCCTCCACTCCACTCCCAGTCCCCCACGCCCAGGGAGCTGCTGGGTCTCCGGGCCTCGTAAAAGGCTGCCTCTGCCTCTGCTCTGCGCTGCGCTGCCGGCGGCCGCGGCACGGTGGGGAGGAAGCAGCCGAACCCCCGCGCGGAAGGCGGTCAGGACCATGGCCGAAAAAGGCGAACAGCAACAGGACACGGCGCAAACGCCGCCCGCGCGGGCGACGACGACGACGATGATGGGCAACGCGAGCTCCTTTCCTTGTTGCCGCCTCGTCGTTCACGCAGCATCCATCATCCTGATGGAAGCGTGACCACTTGCCTCCTGACGCCGGCCGGCGTGTACGGCGGCGTCCGGAACCCCCCGACTGGTCTCTGTGATACTCGAGAGCTACGTGCGTGCGTGCGTACAAGCGAGGGCGCTACTCTACAAAGCAGCCGGTGAGCGCGAGGTGAGGCGTCTCCTTCGGGGGCAAAGAAGGCGTACTCATACGAATCCGATCAACCAAATACGGCGTCTTCCTCCTCCTGGAAGACACTGAGCGCACCCATAAGTACTGTACATTGCAAATAGGTACTATCAATACCCTTGTGAAAATAAAAGGTACTGTACGTACTATCAATAGTACTACTGCTTTTTTACATCAGAAAAATGAGAGCACTGCACATCCTTTTTCCTCACACGGAGAGAGCAGCATGTCCTAACTTTTTAAACAACGTCTTAAATTCGTGCACTGATGGACAGTGTGTTGCAATACATCATAGAGATAGATAAATGTTAGAGTAGATTAGACCATGACTTACATGCCTACATTAAACTAGTGCGATTTCATAAAAATAGTATTTTAATTTCATTGTAACTTATCGACTTATAAGAAGAACAACAATTCGGCAAGTGAAATATGAGGTGGCCCGGGTTTTTTTTTTTGGAACGCGGTACAGGCGCGCAAACGCTCATATATATGCACATACACTCGTTCCTATGAACGCACGCACACACACCCTATCCTTATGAACACCCCCGAGAGACCGAGCTGGCACATCATCTTGAGATTGATGAAGTCGTCACAGATGTCTTTCGTAGTCGACGGGACATCTCCTTCCACTGAACACACATCGACCGGAAAATGCGAGCGCCAACATCTAAGTCTGAGACTTAAACTCTGGTGGACAAAGGATGCCATTCTCCTTCTAACCTCAAACCAGATGCTGGTTCACAAGAGATGGACCAGTTGAGACGGTTTTTAGAAGAAGATGAAAGATGAATAAACAGGAAAAGAAATGGGAGGGTGGAAAATCAAAACCATGATTGAAGGAAGGATGGGTAGACGCCAAAACCTTTTTATTTTTTAATTCAATTTTTGAATTGTACCGCGCATCGCATTTTGTAATGCTGACATGGTGAGTTTTTACGAACCAACCGTGGTTGGATGGTTAAGAAAACAGCGGAGGAGACGTTCCCGTCAACTACAAGGCGTCTACGCTGACTTTGTAAAATCTCAAAATGACGTGCCGGCTCAGTCTCTGGAAGGTGCTCATAGAGGTATGATGTGCGTGTGTGCGTTTATAGGGATAAGTGTATACACGTTTGTACTGTGTTAAAGAAAAAACACACTGTGAGTTTTTTTTTTTGTTGAGGGGGAGTTTTTGTTTTCTTTTTATTTATGTGATGGAGCTGCCACCTTTTGATTCACCTCCGATCTTCCTCCTCCTCCTCTCGGCGCCGTTAATCCAACAACCAACCCCTCCC